CTATGAACATAGGATAATGCTGCATGTGAGCATTTGTGTTAGAGTTTTAATATTTGGTGGTTAAAACCTACTTAGCAGTGGTATTGTGGATCATATGGTGAATAAAGTTGATTTAGGATTGGATTCCACTTATCTGCTTATTCTGGTTGTATCCCGCAGAACTGGGTCCCCTCAGGACTTCCCTCAGATTTTCTTTTAACGACCTATGTGCATTAACAGATCCATGCTGGATGCTCTCTAAAATCCTTAGATGCAACAATGGAGCCATGCCTTCAATAGAAAATTAAAGATCAGTTTTAATTATTATCAGCATTCTAACTTTCTGAATTCCACCATTTTTGACAATTTAAGTAACTACTTCTCTAATTACTAAAAACCACCATGTAAGTCAATGCAGTGCCTGAGTTTTTGTTTAAGAGCAGAACTTATTAGACTAAATTTCAAAGCTAACGTAGGAGATAAATAGCCCCTTTGTGACTATACATCATTGTGTCATGATTATAGGACTTAAAAGTTATAAGAAGAAGAAAAATAATAACAGCAAATAAACTTGCCTCACTAGAATCTGAGTTTTTAGTAACGACATGATTTAGACTCTGGAAGTTTATGGTCTCAATTATTAGAAGAACTTGAATAAGCCCCTTGGTGCTATTTATTTTTTTTTAACAAAAAGAAATTCATGCTGACCAAAATCCAATTGATATTGAAAAACACCTGCCTTTTTCATGCTTGTTGATTTTCTTTCTTTTTTTTTTTTTTTTGTATCTCAAGTAACAATTATGTACTCTGTACAATGTTATTTAAATTTTCAAGGCAGTAGCATCTTGGACCCCTTTAAAATCTGAAGAAAACTTGACTCTTCCTTCTCTTGCTCATAAGGATACACATATGCACTTAAAGCCAATTTTCTGCAATTAGTAACATGTTACTCTCTTTTCTTTGAGCAAAAATTACTTCTTTTCAGTAGTGGTACCCATTTAATTGTGGTATGTTTGGAACTGATCCCATCCTCACAAATGTAAAGGGCTGGATTTAATAGTCAACAGTGAAAGAATGGCAAAGTGAAAATTTCTTAAGGAATGGGAGAAACTATTTGCATCAGATAAGAAATGCAAGGAATGGGCCTTCCTCATGGCACATGGGTTAAAGGCAGCACTATCAAGCTATCTGCAACCATGGCAGCACGAGTTGGATCATTGGCTGGCCAGGGAGCAACCCAATGACACAGCAGACCTCTCTTGCTTACCCACTGCTCATCTCAGCAGTGTATTTCAGTAGATCTATTTGTTCTGCTCCCCACTCTCTCTGGTGAATCCTCTCAACTCCCACACCTCTGGCTTATACCCTGGTTCTTACATGCATAAATAAATAAATCTTAAAAAAAAAAAAAAGAAATTCAAGGAATGGGAGAAACCATGCATCAGATAAGAGGTTAACCTCTAAAATACATAAGAAACTCCCTTAATTCAATCACAAAACAACTAAGAATCCAAATTAAAAATAATCTAAGATCTTGAATAGACATTTCTTTAAAGAGGAAATACAAATAGCCAGTGGAATCTATTAAAAAAAATGCTCAACTTTATCCATCATCAGGGAAATGGAAATCAATCCCTAATGAACTATTACCTCATAACTCTCAGGATGGTTATTATCAGAAAAGACAAAAAAAGTTGTTGGCAAGGATGCAAATAAAAGACAACCCTAGTGCATTGTTGGTAGAAATATAAACTGTGCAGTTTTCATAGAAAATAGCATGCTGTTTCCTTAAAAATATTAAAAATAAAACTACTACATGACATAGCAATCCTACTTCAATTACTATCCAAAGTAATTGAAATTAGGATATTGAAGAAATATTAGTACTGCCACATTCCTTGCTCCACTATCCACAATAACCAAGATGTGGAAACAACTTAATGTCCCTCTATAGGTGAATGGATAAAGAAAATATGTATGTGCACACAATGGAATATTATTCACTCTTGAAGGAAATTCTACAATATGCAACAACATGGATGAACCTGGAGAAAATTATGCTAAGTGAAATAGCCCAATCACAAACACACGGATACTGCATGATTTTTGTATGTTGTTGCATGATTCCATTCATGTGAAATTTCTAAAATATTTAAATTCATCAGCAAGAATGGATTGTGAAATGCCCAAAAATAGATGACTGGATCAAGAAGATGTGGTACATATACACAATGGAATATTACTCAGCAATCAAAAAAGATAAACACATGCAGTTTGCAGCTACATGGATGGAGCTAGAAGGGATCATGCTCAGCAAAATAATTCAGAAAGAAAAAGAAAAATACCGGATGGTCTCACTCATAGCAGGAATCTAGAAAACCTAAATAAGAGACCAGGAAAAAGACTAATCAATACAAAGTAATAATCAAAATCAACAAGCAACTATAAACCAGAGATACATTACATGGGGGGAGGGCCAGGGAGAGGAAGAACTAGAGTCAAAATAAGGAGGGGGTGCAATTGTATGGGGAATATAACCAAAATGAAAATGCGTACATTGTGCAAAGATGAAAAATGACGTAAGAATTATATAAAATAAAATATTAAAAAATTTGTAAAGAAAAAAAGAATGGATTGTGGTTGCCTAGACTTCTCTAGGCAAGGGGAAGGAAATGAGGAATAACTAATCTACAGGCATAGAAGTTCCTTGAAGTAAGATCTCAAAGAGATCGCAGCACAACTTTGTACTTACAGTCAACAATATTGTCCTGTACATCTAAAGATTGGTTAGATCTCAAGTTAAGTGTTCCAATCACAATAAAATAAAACTATAAAAGAAAGAAAAAGTCACTAGAATGTTATCTAAGCCTAACTCTTCAACTGAATCATCTCACTTTCCCCAGTTATACATTAAAGGCTTCATGACCTAAACTAAACCAGGTATACCCTGGTCAGAGTTCTCCAGAGAAACAAGATCAATAAATATATTGTTAAAAGGATCGGTTCGTGCAGTTACAGAGGATGAGAAATCCCACAATCTGCTGCTATTTGCAAACTGGAGAGCACAAAAGCAGATGACAAAGTTCTAGTCAACCCAAAGACCAAAGAACTAGAAGAGTCAATAATATAAATTCCAGTTAGAATCTGAAGACCCAGGAACCAGAAGCATTGATTTGTGAGGACAGAGAGAGAGATGGATATACCAACTCAAGCAGAGAGTCAATTTTCCCTTTCTCCACCTTATTTTGTTTTCTTCAGGGCCTGTGGATATTAGCTATTCAGGTAGTAATTGGTGAGGTTCTCTACTCAGTGTACCAATTCAAATGCTAATCTGTTCTGGAAACAGCTTCACAGATACATCCGAAAACAATATTTTGCCAGTTATTTGGACATTTCTTAGCTAAGTAAAATTGACACATAAAATTAATCATCACATACTTCCATGTAACTTTCTCTTGAGGTGTGGGTAGAGTATCCTCTTTTTCTCAGATCTAAAGTAGCAGGATGTGTACCTTAGGGAAGAGTCATCATTTGTGCCTTATTTCAGGGTCTCTCCCAAAGACAAGGAGACAGAACCCTAACATCCTTTGAGCTTCAGAAACAAGACTTTCTTGTAGTAAGCTATACACATTGTTTGGTAATGTATGTTTAAAAAAATTCCCTTTTTCATGTTAATTAGTTTACAGTTTTGTCTTTTCTCTAACAGATGTACTGAATTACTAAAAATCATTTATAATTTCATAGGTTTCTGGATCTAAGCAATTCATTAATGTCCCAATTCAAGTTCATAGTATTTTTCTGTATATGACATCTAGAAATGATGTCCTGAGATTAGACAAAAAGAAAATGTAACCAAAGGAGAGTTAAATAAAAGCCTGAGTATCTCCCAATTCTTGAGTACTTCACAGTTCCTTAGTGTTCTTGGTTTACCTTCAGGAAGTAGGGAAAACAGAAGACCTCTCTGAAACATTTAAAACATTCATCAATGGGTTAATGTTTATGGGAGGAATAATAATAAACAAATCCCCAGTAACTAAATGGTTTATGATTATGGACAATTGTTCACTAGAATATAAATTTTTATCACTGTAAGTGCTTAGTACATAATAGATTATCAAGAATAACTGTTACATGTATGAATAATTTATGGATAAAGGATGGATAAAATCTGTGGGTAACTATGCCTGCATGAATGTCATATGTATTTTTATAAACTTTCATTATGATTCTTAAAAGGTGATGACATTTTTATCCTAAATACATGAAGTTTTTCCTACAAAGGGTAAAGTTGCTGGTCATTGTGTGGGACCATATATCTGCCACATCAAAATAAATCTTTGACAAAAGAGAGATTTTGAAGCTTGGATAAAGTTGCTTTTGAAAAAGACACATGAAGACATTTCTTTGTAAGAGTGTTTCTCACTTTACTAGGGACCTAATCTCCTTATCTTTTCAATAAAGAAGGCAGTTAAATCTGCATACATTGGTTTACTGTGCTTTCCTCAGTAAATGCCCTAACCAACCTTCTCCATACTCCCTCTATCCACACCTCTCTTTTCTTAAGCTATGTTAAATGGCATTTGAATCCATGTGCAAAGTCACTCATGCTTACTAGACCTCTTCCACTGATACAAGCGATATACAAGTCATTAAACTTCTTTTTATTTATTTCTCTATTATCAGTCTGTTTGGTGCTTGTTTGATTATTTGCCAACTTAGAAGAACCAAGAGGTGTGGGGTGTTTTCCTTTGCACCCCAACATCATAGTGGTGAAATGAGGATGGTTGTGTGTGTGTTGCATGTCTGTGTGAAGCTCCTGTTTATGTGTTTAGATTCATGATGTGAAAATGGGAGAAACAGAAGTGGTTTTTGAAATAGAGGGCTCTACCAATGGATAGAAAAGGGAAGACTTCATGTTACTTTGTTAAATTCCAAAGAAGTGCCACACAGTGAGAAACAACAGGTAGACTATGACATAATAAATATAAGTTACACATCCCCACTACCATGGTTACCTCAGGTGAAAAGTTTAAAATCTTTCCTCTACCATTTAGAGAAGCATTTTCATATTTGACTCCTTGAGTTAAACTTATTGAAGTAAGCTTTCTGTTAAATACCTTTCCTCCTTGAACATGATATTACATAAACTGCTAAGTAATTCAAGACACTATCATCTCTTTGCAGAATTTCTGGAATGGTTTTCTGAATTCTCCCTACTTCTGGTCATGCACTATGGTCTGTTTTCTCCTACATACCCTGAATGATTCTATTAAAAACGTAAGTGATTACCAATCTGAAATTCAAGTCAGTCTTGAATTAAACTTTGTGTATTGTGTGAAGAAGTGATCTAGAGTCATTCTTTTGCATGTGGCTGTCCATTTTTCCCAACACTGTATATTGAAGAGACTGTCCTTTCTCCAGTGTATATTCTTGATAACTTTGGTATGAATCAGTTGTACATACAGAAAAACAAACAAACTCTTAGGTCCAGAGATAAGATTGGAGACTAACAAAGGGGAAAGGGAATGGCAGGGGTGACTGAATGTATTAGCAGAATGAGAGGCAACCCAGACCCCCAAACTTGCCTGCTCTAAATAGGTTCTGCCATCTGCCACATAGACTTTAGTGCCTAGGACTTTCAATAGAAAATAACGAATACAATTAATGTGCAACAATTAGTATTCAATAAAAAGAAAAAGAATATAATTAAAATAGTTTCCAGATAAAGCACCTAAAGAGGGCCTCCCTGACGGCACAAGGGTTTAAGATGCAACCTATGAAGCTGTCAGCAGCCTCTAAAGCACGAGATCGATCCCCTGCCAGGGAGCAACCCACATGGGGCAGCAGACCTCTCCTGTCTCACCTGCTGCTCCCCTCAGCAGTGTACTTCGGTCAATCTGCCTGTTTGTTCCCCACTCTGTCTCTGGTGAATCCTCTCACCACCCCCCCACACACACCTCTGGCCTGTACCCAGCTCTTGTATGCATAAATAAATAAATCTTTAAAAAAAAAAAAAGCACCTAAAGATACACATCCCCTTGTGGGTAAATGCCAATCCAAACAGGGTTGGCCCAAAGCAGGACTGCTGAGGCCTAAAAGCTTGCCACAAATCTAAGGCACCTATTAGTAGGAACCATAGGAAAGGGGCAGAAGGAACCAGACAAGTTTGGAAGGAAAAGAGCAAAATCAAAATCCAAGTCAATATAAAGGATGTCGTTGTCAAACTCTGCGTGGTGGGTCTCTCACCCACATCACTTTAGAATTTCTTTTTTCATGTCCCCCAAGTCCCTGATACAAAATAAAGGCTGAGAAGCAAACATAGCTTCTTCTTCACATGTCTTTCTGCTTCACATGTCTCCTCCAGACATCTTTCCCCATCTTGCTCTGCTGCTTCCTGTTCTTTCCCTGTTCTGCTCCACCCTACTTCCGGTGGGGTGGGGCAGGGAATCTGGAATCTCCCCTTTCTATGGATATCACACTGTTACAAATGGACAAAAGGGGTAGCTATATGGTGATAAATGGAAACAAGACTAGTGTTTTTTCACAATGTAGTGTATACAGATTTTAAATTACAATACTGTGCCCTTGAAAATGTAATGTTATAAACCAATGTAACATCAATCAAAATTAATAAAATGTATAAATGACACTGCTATTCAGTGCCCTCTTCAAATCTTTCCATAACCTATAGGCTTTATATTACTCAGCCCATTACTATTTCTGAGTTTATCTTCTGATTTTCTCCCTCTTGCTCTTTTTTAGCTGAGATCACTGGCCTCCTTGCTCTTCCTCTAACTTATGCTCTGCCTAGAACATTTGTCCCCTGGATGCTGACATGACTCACAGTCTTACCACTTTCAGGTCTCTGTTAAAATGTCATTTTGTCAGAGATATCACCCAGATCACTTTATGTAAAGAGGCATTTACCATCATTATCGCTCTTTATTCTCTTAACAGGTGATTTTTTATTTTCCATCTCCCCTCTCTTAACTATAAACTCTACCAGGAAAAGCATTTCATTTTATTCATAGCTGCATTCCCAATTCTTAGAAGACAGTCGAATCTGCTAAAAAAAAAAAAAACAAAACCTGTTGAAAAATGAATTTTCTAAACACAGAAGTAGAAGCACAGATTTCATAGCATGACTACATTGGCAATCACTGGTAGACTAAAATAGTAATATCCAGTTTACTAATAAAAATGAGATAGAGTTTAAGGGCTTTGTAGATTATATCATTAAAAAGAGAGAACCGAAGCTGGAAACCCTGTCTTCTTCATATTTCTTCTTTTTCTCTCTTTTTTTGGTATATCTTAAAATTCAGCTGGACATACTTTTAAAACATAAATCTCTAAAGCTTCTGACATCTGACAAAGGGGCATAGTAACAAACTGCCTTATTTATGAGAAGTTATGCTTGGAAAAAAAAATATCTATGTGGTGGAAACTAACTGTTGAGTGTGATGAAACAGAGCTTGGAGGATATGCCACAGCACAGTCAGAATTCAACTCTCAAATCCTTTCTAGAATGTCACAAAGCATTATGCATTGTTAAAGAGCTGCCAACTCCTTCCCTAGAGGAGATGCCATATCTGTGATGGGTGAAGTAATTTTCTCTGCTGATCTGCAAAGGTGCTTAGCCCTTTAGTTCTGTGGGAATATGAATGCAAGATTTTATAAGTGTGAAATGTTAACAACAATAACTAGTTATTCATGCCATTCAAATGTAATTTGTTTGCAGGAAAGACCTGACTTCTTTTCTAAAGTGGTGTATTAAGGTTTCAAATTAAATACTTATAATAAGAAATGTTATCTTATGATCTGTATAATTATAGATTGCTTCTCACTGCTTTTATTATTTTTCTTTCAATGTACTCAGTACCATCTTTTACAGCCTATACTTGAAGACAAAGAGCTGTTTAAGTACATTTCACTTTGGTATCCTCTTGTGGCTATTTGCCACCCATCCCTCATCATTCTTTCATAAGATCCAATTTACAGAAGAATATAGTAGAGTACAGAGGGTCAAATTTCCTCCACGTATCTTTTTGACTCTCATCAACCATTTTTCTTTTATTTTTTGTTATTTTTAAGTCCAGTATGATGGAAATAAAACCCACCTTTCAATTAGAGATACTCACATTACAGATTTGACTTTGATTAAAGACAACAAGATGGAAAAAGGCAATATATAGATAAAGAACTAGAGAATTAGGGTAAAATGGATAATGGGAGTGGCATGAAAGGAAGGGTAAAAGAACAGGAGAGGGTAAAGTGGAGGATAAATGTGTAGGTGAGGAAGAGGTTTGCAGTGACCTTGCCATGGAGTACTTGCCAAGCGGAACTTCCCGACTGGCATCTGACATTTTCTCTAAATCCCTAGGATTCTTCTGTCTCTATGAGGGCCAACACTTAGGGCTTTTATTAACAGTTGTGTGTTTTGTTTGTTTTTTTTTTTGAAGGTGGTGTGCCATTAGCAAGATACAAAAAGGAAAATATGACAGGATATATCCTTATATTTAGGAAGCTGCACCCAGGTAACTCTTAAGGTTGTTTTCTACTTCATGATCGTCACTTTTAACCTGAATTAATTTTGTCTTAATTTTATTCCTGGTGCATGCGCGTGTTTTATTATTAGGTGATTGGACCATGTGCTTTATGATGCCTTTCCCCATTGTTGATTGATATCTATGAAGGACCCACTAATTTAAACTTCTGGCCTTCTCAGGTTGTCCTGACTTTGGGCATAGACTCAGCAATATCACATTATATTGAAATGGATTTCAGTGCAATTTGTGAGCTGATGTTTGATCCATCCATGCTTAGAAGTCACCCTCTGTGCCTACTCTACATTATGCTGGGTCTCAATTATTAAGAAGAGATATAGTTTTGAACAAGATAGGCAAGGTTTCTATCATTACAGGTTTTTAATCTCCTGTAGGACATAGATATGGAATTGTTAAAGCAAAATGCATGTGGTAAAGGAGAAATGCTTTAAAGACTGGAGGTCTCTGAAGAAATTTAAGCTGAGATCTGTAAATTATTGAGTTAGCTAGTGAAAGACAAAGTGGGAGGGAGATTCCAGGCAAAGGCACCAAACTTATAGAGAATATCATATTAAAGAACTGAGGAAACACTGTAAGAGTAATGAGTGTGAGAGGGAATGTGACATCTAATTGAGATGGGAGATGTAGGGAAAGACAAGTGGGTTCTAGAGCGTATGCAGGTTTTGCGTATTTCCCTAACAGCAATGGAAACTCACAGAAGTTTTTAAGAAGGTGAGTAGCATGAATGATTTAAATATTTTAAAAGGTTTTCTAGTTTCTCGCTAGAGAGTATAATTATAGAAGTTCAAGGAAATGGAGAACCATGAAAAGGTGATTGCGAAAGAGGGTTAGTGGGTTGGGCTGGCAGATTCAAGTGGGATTGGCCAAAAGGTAAGAGCTTCAAGAGTTGTTCGAGTGACTTAAATACTGTAAAAATAAATCAGTGGTTTTGGAGGATAGAGTGAATTAGTGGCATACCTGAATTACTTGGATTCAAAATTGAGATTGTGATAATTGCTATAATATTCATGAGAAGAGGCAGGATGCTTGAAATAGATCTCAAAGATGGAAAGTTATCTCTCTACATAAATGTCTTAGGTTGTTACACTGTGTCTAACAGTAGTTTTCACAGACTTAAATCTGTCCAAACACAATAGCTCTAAGCACTTTTTTACTAGTTCACTTATTGTAGTAAGTGTTAACTGGTATTTGCTTCATTTGTATTATATTGGTTGTACTTATGATTTTTCTAATCCAAGTATTAAAATTTTTTCTGGCATCAGTATTTTCACCTTGTATCCAAATGAATTAAAAACAACTAGGTAACCATATACATATATATTTTATTTGGCTGAGACACAAGATTTATCCTATTGGATCAGTCTAAATATACATTGTATATCAGCATGAACCTTACTCTAATGTGCACATATAACAATACAGCAAGCCAGGTGTGTAGTTTTATACACATGGTTGACATTTTTTTAAAAATTGGTCACTTCTTTCCAAATTCATTCAGTGGGAATTAGTCACATATTAAACAATTTAGAGAAAATATGGGCATATATGGAAATGTGGAAAAAGGGGTTGTAACTTAAACAAAATAGTGGTTATTAGAGCAGAAGGGGGTGGAGGGTAAGCAATTGGGGGACAAGGGTCAATTGTTTGGTGGGAAACAAGTAGCATATGAAGATGTTGAATTATAATGTTGTATGCCTGATATTTATATAATGTCATAAACCAATATGACTTCTTATAAACCAATAATTTTTTTTAAAAATTCTGTTAATTAAAAGCTGATATTTTAAGTGAATATTTACTTTCATTAATGTCTGGCAGTCAAATCAAATTCCATATTTCAAAATTACCTTTTTTTAAGTTTTTTAACAACAATGTAATGATTGGCAGTTTATTCATGACTAATAAAATGTTTTCTTCATAATTTAGTTTCCAGCATCCTAAACTAATTGCATCATTCAGATTAAGTACTTTGGAATTGGCTCTATTTAAAATCCCATTGTGTTAAATGCCTCCTATTAAATAACTCCATTATTAGTTCAAGTACAGTGGGGATGTTTTTATCTCATTTTCTTACCTGTTTCATTCAAGTGCCCTTGAATATTTTAAAATTTGATGTGAACCACAGCTCTATAATATCCATATAGGACATCAATCATATAACTGATAATTAAAGAACTGGTGGGAAGTAATTGGGAAATGAAACACATTCATTTGTTCACACAGTTTTGTTTCCATTTACATCATTACTTGTACAATCTCTTACTCAAAATTCCTTTGACAAATATTGAGTAGGTACTGCATGTGGGTTTCAATGTAGAGGTAAAGAAAGCATAGAAGTTGCCTACAAACAACCCAGAACCTCATGGAAGGAAGATCATGCCAGTGGTGACTGTACACTGTCTGGTCATATAAGATGTCTTTCCAGGGAGCTGTGAGAACTAGAAGAGCAGCATCTCCCTCAGCTTGCAGAGTCAGAAGAGACTTGTCAGATGAGGGGACTTGATTTCTGAGGCACGAATATGAGACAGCCAGTTGGATCAGGGAGCAGAAACATCTGTGACAAATAAAAGGACATTTGTAAAGGCATCAGATGATGAGTAAACTTGAAATTTGAAAGGCTGCAATCAGGTCTTAATGTCACATACCCAGGGTGTTGTTATAGTGAGGAGAAAGAATGACATAGAGCCTCCTGTGCTATGCTGAGGGGTTGGACCTGACACCTAACTCAATGTGATGAGAAGTAAAGTCAATGGAAATGGAAAAGACTTCCACCTGCTAAGAAAAACATATGCAACTTCCTCTAAATTTTCTTTTAGATTGAAGGTTATTCATCAATTTCATCAGCAAACACACTGTGTGTGATAACATGCAGGATCATACACCTTACACATACCAGTTTTTTTTTAATTTCTTTTCATGTTTCCTCCACTATTATATCTGCATTATCACTGTAAATTTGTAAGTAGTCATAACATGTCCATTTTTTTCTTGCAACAATTCATTCTAGGTATATATAAAAATTTAATCTTCCTAAAATCACTTTTTTCCCCTCTGGTCTATTGCTTATTCAAAAATCTTAATGTTTTGTCTACCAAATCATATTATCTATTGTCAAGGTAAAGACTAGAATTTTGAAACTGGAATTGAAGATACTTCATAATAGGGCTGATTTTTAGCTTTTTAAACCTATTTTCAACGTCCTTTTTTATTGACTACCAAACAAGTACATCTGTGGAATGGCCCTTATAAATTGCTATCTTCAGTCTTTAGTATTTGTATTTTCTCATTATCTGCATATTTTAAGTCATTAAAATATGAATCACCATCACTGATTCAGATTCAGTCTATTGGCACACAGTGACATTCCTTCTTCATGCTTACAAATCTTTTCATATCTTATATTAGCTATTACTTTGTTACTCAAATAACCTGTAGGTGTTTAGAGAAGAGATGGTGTATGTCTACTTTTCTTATTTCCTATAGCAACTTGCGTATTACCTGTGAATAGCAGATTTTCATTTTGTATTTAGTGGCTGATTGACTGGTTGATTGAGCAAAAGCGACATAAGTATATTCACTTTAAGAGTTTACAATATAATCCTATTATTGCATTATTTATTGCTGGTATATTCTCAAAGAACTTGGAAACATTCTAAAATCATGACTCATGAGACATAGGTCCAGATGAGAAACGTTCCCTAGTAAAATGATGGTGGAGTTCTACACAACCCATCAGAGTTTTTTTTCCTTATGCTTATATTCCATTTTGTAAGAATGCAGGTAACACATATATTAATATGGAAAAGGTGAGGTTTAAAAAAAACAAGATATTGAGATTTTAAAAATCATCAAGAGAAGGGAAATGATTCTAGATGGTAGATGAGATGCCTAAATAAATATCTAAAAGAAACCAGGTTATAAGAAAATTAGCCTGGTATGGATACAAGCTTCTTTAGTTGACATGAAGTATGTAATATTGGGAAAGACCCATATAAAGGTCCCATCAAAAAACATACAAAGATAAGTTAATTAACCTGTAAAACTAAAGCTATAAAAGGGAAAGACTATTTATAGGTCTTAATGCTACAGTTACTTAGAAAAAAAGATGTTTGAAACATTCCTTCATGTCTTTTTGCTTTGCAAGCCTAGAATGTATGGCATATAAGTGTCTGAATGTAATTGAAACAATCAGCTTTCCTTTCTTTTTCTCTACAAAGTTCTCCAACTAACTTTATAAAGAAGCAAAAACTTTTAAGTTATTTTAGAAAGTACACAATATGTCAAAGTTTCCCAGAATTGATTCAGAAAATGCTCTGAACATGACTTCAACTAAAAAAGAAAGATTTCAAATATTTTATAAATGCTTGCTATATTACCTGTATCAGCAACACAGCTGGAGAAAATTACTGCAGAAATAGGGTAAGACCCGGTGGTACAGAGAATGATCTGAAACTGATTGTCCAATAGTTCATGCAAGCTGTATCACTTATGCCAGGATGAACTTGTAGGAAGGATATTACTGAAAGTCAAAAAGAATCATTATGTTCATTTCTATGAAAAATAAAATACTTAGATAAAGGACCCATAAAGAATGGTTAAAAACTGAAACACATAAATTTCTCTCATAAAGCTCCTTACTGAATGGAAAGGGGGGGAAATGGAACATATTCTGGGTTTTACTGATGCCATATCTTAAAGTGAGGCCTTTGTAAGCAATAAAATTAATTAAAGCATACTCATAATTTTATTTCCATAGATGGAAGTAGAATATTTGTTTTCAGATAAAAGGATATATGAAAATCATCACATATTTCTGTTTATCTAATAGTGGGAGTATTTTTAATCATGAAATATGTCTGTGTTTATGTGACAAGGGGGTTATTAATGCTCCTTAAGATGGTCTTAAGAAAATACTTGAGAAAATCCTCCTTGAACAAATAAGCATGCCCTTTTGAGATCTACCTGCTTTT